TTATTTAGTTTGAGTACACTTGTACAGGTGAGATCAAACTTAATTCACAGTTGAAGAAATAGCAATACTGAGATGTAAATTCATCACTGGCCCTCCTAAAAATTAAATGGGGTGCTGTTTGATAAAGTAACATGAGGGTATAAAGCTGTTCCACTAAGTCACACTTAAAAAGTTGAGCACATGAAAGTGCAGGAGGTCACGGTTTACCCTGAAATGAGGCTCATATTTAGATATTTCTTTATGTGGTCAAATGAATACTGGAGAAGATATAGCAAAAATTCATAATCCTTAAAACTTATTTTTAACTATATGCAGAACAGCGGTAGCATTTATCAGTTTCTGGCCACCGGATGAACTCTTATTTTAGCTTTTGTTAAGTCTCCACTAACTCCTGAGAAGAATATCTGTCTCTTTAGCTGCTAAATGCTCCTCTATGTTTAGCAGCTAGTCACTGACTTTAGTGCTAGGCAGGTATAGCAGAGGGCTTAATCAGAGCTTTCTTTTCTAAAAACAGCTGCCAACTGGAAATGACTCAGTGAACTAAAACAGTAAAATTTGCAGGTCATAAAACCAAAACAACGAGCTGAAAGACACCAAAATGATCAGTCAAGCTAAGGGGAATTGCAGACTAAGTATGTGTTCATGACTTTGAGTGACCCTTTTCAAGTAAATGTAGTCATTTGAATATCGTTAAGATATAAATATTGATTATAGGAGCTTTAGTGGTTGTAAGGATGTCCAGTTAATAAACTGCTTCTGTGTGTAAACTTTAGTTTACAATCAAATAAAAAAAGTAAACGTTCTTATTGTAATCATAAGTGTGATCACACAGTGAAACAGCTGATATGTGTACACAGAATAGTTTCAAGTGTTTCCTCTTGCAGTTTGCAGCAGTACCTGTTCTGAATGTCATGCGTGTGTTGAACACTGGAATATAAAATGTGTGTTGACAAAAACCTGAGAACACCTGCTCGTCTCATCAGTTCATTTTTGTATGTATATTATGTCTTTTCCCTACCCTCGTCTGTCAGTCAGTGTCACTGCAGTGAGCTGCCGCGTCTCCTCCTGTCGCATCTGACGGCAGACTAAAATAACTGGCATTAGGACTCACACACCCTCAACTTGATGCGGTATGCATTATAGATGCCCACTTCACAATGTGTCACATCAGGTCTTGATTTGCATGCGTGTCACGTATTTGATCTTCTTCAAGCAGCAGTAATAACCAAAGCAGAGAGATCTGAGAGATTTTCACTAGTAGAAGAGAGAGAGTCGTGGAGCTCGACACTAATGAACATGTCTTTGTGCCAGGACTCAAAAATTATGTTGGGTTTGTGAGTGAGGGGGGGCATACTACACTGCAGACATTACCTATAATTGAGCGGCAAGAGATACTTTGCTATAAGAATTATAAGTTTCATTTGCAGTATTTCACATGTAGCTCCAAACTAGAGAACATTTAAATATGCAAATTATTTAACATGCAGCGCTAATGACTCTGAACATCTGCACCTTTGTAAATACACACAAGCCATCTGTTTACTCCCAACACATTCTCACTCCCAACTCGTCAAACACTACCGCTTGGTCAGTAGAGCTACACTAAAAAATATTTTAGGTAAAGATCCTGAGTAAGTTACGTAAGTTAACTAATTATGTACATTATTTAAAAGAGGTCAACTTTTACTTTAAGCTTCAAACAAGACACAAACAGCGGTCTCATGGATGAAAGTATTTTGCTTGCTCCACCCTACTTCCTCCATATGCAGAATTTTTGGCTTTCGCGACCATAATTGAAGCTTTAAGCTGAAGCCCTGCTAAAGCCACTAACTAAGCAGCAGTATTTGACAAGTTGAGGCTGTTACACCATAGCAATAATACTGGCCACTTTATGTTGTAGCATCCTGGGAGGTGCAGTGCAGGATAGCCTCCCAGCATGCACTAGGGCTTTTGTTTTACCAATTGTGTTCTACTAGGGGTGCTTTTCCTTATGCTAACGTGTCATAATATTTGATTCCGTAGCATCATTGATGCTGATAAGTGAACACAGTACAGACCCCCTTTTTTAAGAACAATTTCAAAAGCTTCTACTCATTTAGATGTGTAAATTGTTTAACATAGCTGATTATTAGTAGTATTATTACTGTTCCTTTTAGTCATCTAATTTATATACGGATCAGTGTTATTTGTTATGATTACTTTTATTAACTTGCATTATTGTTATCTGACCAATAATACACCACCTAGCTGCGTGAGAATGTGTGTATGACAATAAAAATAAAAAACAAACAATAAACAAAATGCTGCTTTGTGTTATGCCACAACACTTTAAATTAAATTAAGAAGAAACTGAAAGATGGCAGAGGGGGCACACTTCCAGGGAGGAGAGAGGACACGAGGAACCTTAAGTTAGGGTAATGAAAAGCACCCCAGGTTTCTGCTGCTTCCAAACTATCTGCTATTATACAGTTAGCTGTTCTGTCTAACTGTTGTTAAATTATGAGTGATGCTGTGTGCATGACTGGTGCTGATCATTTTATTGATGGTTTAGTGCAGTGTTTCTCAAACCTTTTATGTCGCATACCACCTCAGAAAATGCTAGACTCTCCAGGTGCCACCAGTAACACAGCCAGACCCTATTCAGCTACAGATGGTTCACGCATGAGGCAGGTTTATTCAAGAACCAGAGCTAGTTTGGTGTAAAAGGGGTCCTCCTTATCCATACTTCTCTCCCTCATAGTTCAAATTTGGAGCCACGATTGCAGTGTTTTTGAACCATTCATTTTACCTCTGCTTACTATTTTGCTTTCACATTTTAGCTGATTATACACTAATGAAAACTAAAAATCTATGAATATTATATTCCATTTCTGCCAAAGGATCCTCCATACTGGACCTTTAAGGTATTGAAATTTGATTCTTGTTGTCATTTTTAGGTCACAGAGTAGAAGCAAATACAAAATTACTGCAAAGAGGTGAAATTCTGTGTGTGTATATAGTATTGTAAGTATTCAGCTGCATTGCCATGCCAAGAAAATGTAACTGTAATAAATCACAGAACTCAAGCAAGTCTCTGAACTCTGCTAACTGATTTTCATTCTACACATACGTGAACAAGCATGTACATAGTAAAAACAGAGAATATGTGCAAAATCTGATTTTTATATCCAAAAATGTAAAAATTAAAAGCTGACTCACAAAAATATATTTTAAAAAAATTATAGTATTTATATTTTGTGTCATAAAGCAAAAACGTATTACTTTATTAATACTGCATGGTACTTAAAACTTTTATATGGGATGTGTAACAGCAGTCGGCTCAAAAATGACCATGCAGACCAGTTCATGTACAGCAGACAGATTGGAAGTGTTTGGACACTGCCCACTCAGTTCTCTGATTCAGACATTTCTTACTCATGTTCTTCATAGAAGTCACTGTGTGTGGGTGGGTGCTGACAGGGCAGACAAAGTGTATTTGTACTGATTGTGTAAACAATCCTGCAGCAACTCCTCTGTTGACAGGTAAAAGGGCAAGGGGTCGTGTGAGGCCAATGGCCATCAGGTTAAACATCCTCTCGTTGTTGTATCATCAGTCACCTAAAACTTAACTGTTACACAGCCAGGGATTTAGCCACTGGATGATACAGAGTATTTTCATCCAGCTGACCGGTATGACAGGATTTGTAATAAAAATCACAACTCATTTATTATTTCTGATCAGATATAGGCATGGCATTAGTCAGGTAACACAATTGTTTGAGACAACAATAGCCCACCAATGACAATATGTGGAATAATGTAATATTATTTAATCACATTTAAATATGTTTCATCTATTTGATGTTACATTGTTGTCAATGAATAGAAAAATTAAATCACTAAATCACTATTCTCAGGGCACCCCTTTCAAAGTAAAAGACAAACGTTCACATGCTTACATGCAGAACCCCTCAAACTGCTTCTCATTAGGGCAGTGATAATGATTATTTTCATTATAGATTATTTATTTAAATTTACATTTTTGTAAATTAGTAAATTAGTAAAAGCAGCAAATTCCTCCATTTTAGAGCCCAAAACAATAAAATGTGGGCATTTTGTGCTTGAAAAATTATTAATTAATTTAGAGATTAAAAACATTTCTGTCAATTAATCGATCTGTGGAAGCAGTGAATCCACTAATCGTTGCAGCTCTCCTTTTCATTAACATCAACAAAATGTTCTTTAATGATAATTTCTTACATTCTGAGAGACATAAAAACTCCCATGCAAAGACAGATACAAGCATACTTCTTGCTACCATCAGTTTGATGGCTAAAGAGGCAGTGATTCTGATCAGTGATGACACCTGTGATGGTGATGCTTATTTTCCTAGCATGTCCCTTTACATGGCTGTGGGGTTATTGATCTTGCCCATAAAGAGGATGCTCCCAGTGGAGTTTTCCATGATGAAAACCAAGAATGGTCTGTCTATTCTGATAGACGGTGGCATCATAAGGAAGATCACTTCGATGATGCTGGTGGCTGCTGCCTCTGTTCCCATCTCAGTGATATTCAGCACAGCTTTGTGAGATGCCTGTGGAGGAAAAAGGAGGAAGCAGTCAGACTCTAGTTTGAAACTCAGCACAGGTCTAGGAAAAATTTAGAGGCTATGGGTTATTTTTCAGCATCCTCTGGAGGTATATGTCACTATTCTGCAAGATGTCCCTGAACTACTGCTCATGCAGTGGAGTAAGCATATTCCCATGTTATTCATGAGAAATGTTTGCGTCTCCTACCTTTGAGACTTTGAGCTTAACCTCCTCAGATATCCCAGAGAAATCAGCATTGTCTGCAAAAGCGTTGGTTATGCCCAGTTCTTTTAGCATGCTGTCCAGGGAAGCCTCAGTAGAGATGGAAAATTTTGGCAGGAACAGATCCACATAACTGAAAGATACAGCACATCACTAGGGTCAGAATTATTGAAATATACAGTAATATTACACCTTAATCTAACTAATTCTAATTAAAGGACCAGTGTGTATAGTGCCATTATTATAGTGCCTTATTCTAAGGTAATGAAAACTGTTCCTATATTCAGGTGAATATACACTAATAAAAACATGCCTATGAATATTATATTCCATTTTTGCCAATAGATCCTCCCAAGTGTTACACACTGGACCTTTAAGTTTAACGGTGCTAATCATGAACAGATTACATGTTTTAAGTAAATCAAATACACCTAATCTAGTCAACATTTTCAGTGATTACTGTATGTCACCTCTCCAGATCCCAACATACGGCAAGGCAATCTCGAATAACTACATTGTTTTCTCTATCTATGACACAACCAAAGAAGAGGATTAAAAAATAAATTAGATTCCTCTTACCTCATCCGGACTGAATTTTGCCAGTGCCTGAGGTAGTCCTTGTTGATGTAGCCCTCCACCTCCGCCATCCGGCCTTCATCAGGCAGGACGATCATCATGGAGGTGCTGCCATTGTAGGGCAGCATGATGGCAGTGGTGTGGTTGTCAGAATCCTCATAGAAGCTGTAGTAACCCGTCCTCATCATCATGTCCACCTGAACTTTGGTGGTCTTGTCCACATGGAAGTCTGCCTTATTTGTCATGTCAAGGCTGAATGGTGACTTCCACTGTCCTGCATGAGGCAGTGGAGGAGAAGATGATTTTAGATATTGAAGTATGCTCTACTATCATCATACTTTATGTTTACATAATTAAAACGGTTTTATTTTAAAGGTGGTGAGTTGAACTTCATTCTTACCTCTGAAGTTAACGTAGTTAATCAGTAACATGGCCATTTCAGGGTCCAGGTCCTTCACCATATCTTTGATCTTATCCTGGGTTTTATTAGCAATGAACGAATTAATCTCAGCTGCAGCCTCAGCTGGTTTGGTAAAGTCAACATTGAAGATTTCACCAGAGTAGTAGTGCCTGACATCGTTCAGGAACTTCTCCACAGGGTTGAAGCCAGAGCGCAGGGCCACACCATTACCAACATCTAACTGCTGGTTCTCCTGGCTGTGTCCATGCATGTCGAAAAGATGTTTGTACGCATCATTAACCTGAGACTGGTTTGTGTTGCTGTAGCCCAAGCTGGAGAACAGCTGGCTGTGGGTTTCACCACGGGCTCCTGTAGACAGCATGGACAGGGCAGGGCAGGCTGGAGAATGCCCAGCGGTGAGTTAAGAAGGATGTTTTCCAGCGCACAAGTCTTGCCGCATTTCCAGACTTTTGTGTAAAGGGCAAAGGCAAAAGTCAGCAATTGGCGAGGAGACAGCTGGTGGCAGCATCATTAATTCCTATTCATCGCGTGTGTTCAGCTTGCCGATGGTCGTGGGTGTGGTGGTGGTTGCCCAGGCTGGCAGGGTCAGTAGCCAGTGTTTGCCAGTTGCCACAACTAGTTAAAGATCCCCAGAGGAGGTTAGTGGGGCTCAACCGCAGTAGGTTGTAGTAGTATTAGTTAATATAGACCCTTTGTGTGGACAGTAGCTAATGGCTAAATACCTTTTAATTAAGCAGGACACATTGATATGGTAGTTTAGTAGCTAAGCTTCTACACAGCTCTACACTTCCAAATTATTACATATTGTCACAATGTCTTCGCTTTCAAAATAGAATATTTATCATTTCATTTAAGTATAATATATCTAAAGATTAAAGTTATACAAAAGAATATTTCCATATTTCAAACCAAGTACCATGCTTACCTTTAATGTCGTCTTTGCTGCAGACTGTTTGACAGAAATGTGCCCATTATATACAGGAGCTCTGAGTCAGCTGCCAGTTCAGTCAAAAATTAACAAAACCAGCCCCAGTTCTCTGTCCTTAGATATTTGGCCGGACTATCTTTACTGATGCAACACGAATCACTCAGTACAACCTAGGTAAAGAACCACTGGTGAGGTGAATGGGCTGTTCATTCTTTCATTAAAATGTTAAGTTTTTCATTAGTTTCTGTCATATATATCAAGTTACAATTTCGGATGTCGGTATGACAACACGTCCGAAGTGTCACATTATGAGTAAATGTATGTAAAAGTAATCCCTGTTAGCAAGAAGCTCAGACTGCTCATTCAGACTGCTTTCCAACGTCTTTTCTACGTTACAGTAATAGTGCTCAACCCAGCCGCCTTCTTGCTCTTAAGTAAAGGATGAATGATCAGTTAGCAAGAAAGGGGAATTTAAATACAATTTTTATTTAATTTAATCTGATAAATTGATAGCACTCAACGATTCTACCAAATGTTATAAATCGACCTCTGCATATAAAATTAACAGGGCAAAACATTAATGAAAAAGTAGCTACAGCAAAACAAAAAGAACAACCACCTCATTCTTAATTTCATCTAGCGGTATTAAACCTACCGGTCTCTTGGACTAATGGTAACGTAACATTGCACAAGGCTCTACACTATCACTATAATTCATGACACAATGAGTTCATAATTTTTTTCTCAATACATTAAATAAATGGGGACACCTTCTTTTACTATTTCTGTTTTCAATTTCAAATATTTGGAGGTGTTCATCCATTTCTTGACACATTAACCAAAATAGTATAATAAAGCTATAGATGCAGATTTAAAAATATAGGATACACTCCTTTCCTCCTTTTAGTCTGGACTTTCAGTTATTAAGATGAACGTATTGCCTTATATTAATTTTATCAGCCCAGTGATAGCTCTAGCACCACTGGGTGGCTACTGGAAGAAGTTGTATTCTGTTATTAGTTTTTTGTGGATCAAGAAAAAATCCAGAATTATAGTTTCTACTCCGCAAAGACATAAATTGAGGAAAGAGGTTGCTTAATTTTGAATGGTACTCACGGTGTTTCATTCCACATCCACTTACCACCTGGTTGAATTCAGAGACTCGTGCATCATGGCGCTCCATTGAAGAACAATGCACATATCGACATAATCTACCAACATACCGTGTAAATTCGTGAAATAGGACTTTGGGACAATTATATCGTACCTTTTCAGTGTGTGGCATAAAGTCCAGCAATGTGCAACACATTTTTTGTCAATCTGTCAATCTCCTATTTTCTAAAACTATTCTCTTTTGATAGATAAGATGCCAATTTTTTTTCTTTCTTTCTTTCCACAGTGGGGTGACAAAGGTGTTCATACTCTTCAAGACATCATAGGGCAACAAGATCTCAATGAATTCCAAGATTTAAAAAAGGTCCTATAACCTCCCGGGCACTTCTTTCTTTTTTTATCTACACTTGCGTGAAGCAATGCATGCTCAAGGAGTCCCATGTCATATTGAATTGGAAACTCACCCCAGTCATTTAAACCTCGGCACCAAAGGTAAACATAATAACATTGTCTCTGACCTCCATACATTTATAACTGAGGCTTCATATAGACCATTGTCACTTAACAGACTCTGGAAGAGAGATATTAGTACTTGTCAGTTCTGGATTGGCAACTATATGGTCAAATAAATCCCAGGGATTAAATCCCCATTGTTAAAATTCGTCATTTTTGCAGACAATACAAATTTAATTTGCTCTGGGAAAAATTTAAAGGAATTTTTGTATGCTATTGAAAGGGAGCTGGAAATTCTCAAAAACTTGATTTGGAGGGGATACTTAAAAAAAATCTGTGATGTTGAAACTGAAAAAGTTTTTAAAATGTAAACAACATATTGACTATATTAAAGAAAACATTTCAAAGTCGGTAGCAATCCTGGAAAAATCTAGGGATACAATTAATTATACAGCCTTTTATAGAAATTATTGCTCACTCATACCTAATTACATATCTTGCTGTGTGGATTTGTGGTTTTGACCTTTAAACAACTATAAATTGTAGTCTTACTACAAAAACCATATGTATTATCAATAAGCTTGATAACAGTAAACACACTAATTCACTGTTTATAAAATCCCATGTATAAAATTGCATGATTTGTTATATTATAAAATAATGCAAATAATGTTCAGAGCTCAATCAAAGTCACTGCCAGACTGTTATCAATAAAATATTTCAAATATGATTTAAGAGACGTTTGTAAGTTTACAGTACAAAAAGCTAAAGAAAATGGGGATTAAAAGGAGATATATTTCTATTGTTGAGATTAAATTATGCAACAATGGGCCTCATGCAAGAACTACTTGTACAAACATATTTGTTCTTAAATATGCTTGTAAAAATTTTGTCTTAGGCACAAATAAAATTTATGAGTGGTCCATACCACTCATATAGCCATGTGCAATTAGTCTGCTGTTATCCAAACACACGTTTTTCACTAAAGGAATGTATATTGCATTACTATTCAGCAATTTTTTTTTCCTTTTTAAATTAAACTTTATAATTACGTCTGAAATGGCGTACTTGTACAAGCCTACGATACAAAAAAAGTAAGAAAAAGTTAAGATAAGAACAAGAAAATGTTCTTACATGAGAAATATAAGAATGTGTAACTCAGTTTTGGTTATAAAAAAAAAAATCTACTTTTGAGGGTTAAATGTTTGTTTTCCTCACCATTTTTTATTTCTGGAGGTAGCTTAAATTGATAATGTAGAAAAGCATATCTAAGCTTTTTGCTTCTGCCTGTGTCTTTTTAGTCAATTCTTAATGCATAGATTGTTAGCTATGCTTAAACTGTCTATTGTACAATATATTGTATACTGTTTATACGTATTGTATTATTGTGTCAGATGACTAAATACTACCGTTGGAGGGAAAGAGGCTCATTCAAAACTGTAATTTTAAATAATTTTGACTACAACAAACAATTGGTTCTTTTTTTAGCATTAATAGGTATTGTAGATCATTTAGATCCTAGTTGATAAATGGATCAGTGAACTCAAGATCTGATTGAAAGATTAATATAACATAAAATGCCAGTTGTTCATGAAAAGTCTTTATTTCACTTCATATTGAACGATGTTGAGACAGCAATAGCACGATAACACCTTAGCTCAATGTATGAGCAGATCCTTGAAGTTACATATCTACTAATGTTTCAGTCATATACAACAGTCAGCTGGATACAATATATAGTAATGTATTTGGACATTTATACACCCAGCCACGTTCTGACAGATGGTAATAATTGTGTGTGTTTCTGTTACTTTATGAAAGCTCTGTTGTCTTTTTTATCACACTATCCTCTGTTCACCATTTCCCACAATGCTCTTAATATCACTGTGACCTCTACGTAGGGCTTTCAGATACTGAGGTCAAAATAATAATACGTTCATTTCCCTAGCATCTTTACATGGC